GGGAGGGAGAGGGGCGCAGGGTCTGGGCTCGCAGTCTGGGATGGGGCCCGGGGTGGGGACCGAGGGGGGAAACGCACTTCCCGGGACTCTCCCGGAGCCTGTCCTGGCGCCTCTCTGTGCCCGCCTGACCTTCCCCTGCCCCGGCCCAGGGGACAGTCCGCCCCAGCAAGGACACTACCCGCCTTGTCTCCAGCCTGGCAAGCTGGCCGTACAGCCTCCCTGTGTCCGGTCTGAACGGCCACCTGACTGCCAGGGTGGGGACAGGGCATTGGACTGCCCACCTCGGGCGGCTCCGGGTGCATCAGGGTCTGGCCTGGGTAGGCCCCCGCCCCAGCTCTGCCTGCTACCTCAGAACTGGAAAAGGAGTCTGCAGGGTGGCTCTCAGGGACAGTGACCGTTGGAGGCCACTCGGCCACCTCTGGTCTTGTCCTCTGGACCTGGTTTCCAGCCACGCGGGACCCAGCAAATGGGAGGCAGCCCTGCTCAGGGGTGAGCTCTGCACAGCGTGCGGAGCCACAGGACAGGAGGGCCGGCCAGAGGGGCAGGGTGGAGAGGCCACAGAGGCTGGGCCCTGCCAGGTCCCAGACTGGTTCCCTCCTGGGAGTGACCGGACAAGAGGCTTTAGCAAGGGAGTGACAGGCCAGCAGCGTCCCCAGCATTCACCCGGCTCCCACCGCAGGCAGCTCTCTGGCCAGCCAGAGCAGAGGCTGGACAGACACGGTCAGGGAGCAGGAGCTCTCCAGGGTCCTCCAGCGGCTCAGAGCCCTGTCCCTGGGTGTGTGTGGCCATGTGCGCTTCTTGAGCACCTGCTGCACACCAGCCCTGGAGACGGCTGGAGGCTCCCTGCCCAGAGCCAGGACCCGCTGTGCTTCATGTGTGCCTGGAAAGCTCACACCCTCTCTGGGCCTTCTGGGGCTCCGGGTGTGGGAAGCGCTAGAAGACCCAGGGCTGGGGGCCGTCTGGTTCCCCTCTGGGTGGGCGACAGTCCTGACCCTGACCCAGCCTGCTCCCTGCAGTGCCCTTCTCTGGCCCATGTGTCTGGCCAACTCTTGTGCGCCCCCCTTTTCCCAGACCCATTGGTGGGCGGGGCTGGTCACCTCCTGTGCACCTCCCTCAGGCTGTCCCTCCCTTGGCCCTGCCCAGTGAGTCAATGACCTCAGAGGCTGATAGAGTGACCGCTGCCTCTGAGGGGCAGGGAAGGGCCCACTCTCCAGAGGGAAAGGGTCAGTAGCAAGATTGTCCATGCACAAGGGCAGAACCAGGGCTGGCTGGAAGCAGAGTGGACCAGTGTGACCTGTCTCACCCCCAGGGTCCTCGAGGTGGACGCTTCAGCCCAGCAGGAGCGGCTGCAGGCCATTGCAGTGAGTCCTGCCCACCAGGGACGGGAGGGGGGCACTGGGGGACGGGGGTCTGGGGCGGGACGGCAGGCCCAGCGCCATCCTCACTCCCAGAGGACGCAGGCCTGTGGGGCCTCGGGAGGGGCGTGGGCCTGTGGCCGTGGGCTGACCCTGCGACCCCCACCAGGAGAGGCGGAGGAGGCAGGCGGAGATCGAGGGCAAGCGCCGGCAGCTGGAGGAGGACAGGAGGCAGCTGCAGCACCTCAAGGTCCGCGGGAGGGGCCACGGGGCCCTGGGTGGCGACCCTGACCCCACCCCTGACCTTGACCCCGGTCCTGACCTGACCCTGACCCCTGCTGCACAGTCCAAGGCCCTGAGGGAGCGCTGGCTGCTGGAGGGGACCCCTTCCTCGGCCTCAGATGGGGAGGACATGAGGAGGCAGATGCAGGAGGACGAGCAGAAGGTTCAGCTCCTGGAGGGCTCCATCTCCAGGTGGGTGCCCAGGGCCCATCAATGCCCAGGGTCCATCTCCAGGTGGGTGCCCGGGGCCCATCAATGCCCAGGGTCCATCTCCAGGTGGGTGCCTGGGTCCATCTCCAGGTGGGTGCCCGGGGCCCATCAATGCCCAGGGTCCATCTCCAGG